GCATGGATGCATGGATGCATGGATGCATGGATGCATGGATGCATGGATGGACGGATGGATTAGTTGGTGGGTGAGTGTACTTACTCGTTTTCCGGATAAAAGCTTTGTATGCCGATCACTAAACCACCACTTGAGAACCTACTCATTACAACTATAATGGAAATCACTAAACCACTGCTGTCCTGTAAAATAAATAGGCCACACAGTCTTCATTGATTGATTGCATTGTCACTTATGTCATCGATTAGCCATCGAGGAATGAAAACTACCTCTTCAAGGTACCAGCTAGATGCCAATTATATTTTACTCTTGCAAACTCTTGTTCAAAGGCCAACAAAGGTTATTGATTAAGAACTAAACACAAGCAGCAGAGTTGGATGTGACAAAACAAAGCACGTTCTTACGAAAACTTGGCATTACGTATGCTACGGAACAAACCTGTACAAAATTAACCTTACAGTATTTCCCCAAGTCACAAACCTTATTGTCTCCAATCAGTTCAGTGACAAAAGCCATTGACATGACGTACATAACTGACATGCCAAATCCTATTATTGTGACGGGTGCATAGGTCGCTTGCCTGGTGGAGGGAGTCTGAAAATAACTCAAGACGACACCGCCTATCACAAGGGAAGCTCCCAGTAGGTAACTCCACTGCAACAGCAAATCAATGAAGAGTTGAGAAAAAAAAAATAAAAACAATACGTTTGATACCTATGTTGGAAACGACGACTCCAATTCATGAATTTTCCTTTCTTTGGGCGTTCTTGTTTCATTCCTCATTTATTATTGAGTCATTGTTTNAATAGATGGGCCACACAGTCTTCATTGATTGATTGCATTGTCACTTATGTCATCGATTAGCCATCGAGGAATGAAAACTACCTCTTCAAGGTACCAGCTAGATGCCAATTATATTTTACTAATGCAAACTCTTGTTCAAAGGCCAACAAAGGTTACTGATTAAGAACTAAACACAAGAAGCGCAGTTGGACGTAATAAAACAAAACAGTTTCTTACTAAAACTTGACATTACGTATGCTACGGAACAAACCTGTTTAAAATTAAACTTACAGTATTTCCCCAAATCACAAACCTTATTGTCTCCTATCAGTTCAGTGACAAAAGCCGTTGACATGACGTACATAACGGACATTCCAAATCCTATTATTATGACGGGTGCATAGGTCGCTTGCCTGGTGGAGGGAGTTTGAAAATAACTCCAAACGACACCACCCACCACAAAGGAAGCTGCCAGTAAGTAACTCCACTGCAAGAGCAAATCAATGAAGAGTTGAGAAAAAAACAATACGTTTGATACCTATGTGGGAAAGGATGATTTCAATTCATAATTTTTCCTGTCTTTGGGTGTTTTTGTTTCATTCCGCATTTATTATTAAGTTGTTGTTTTTTTCTTTAGGTATGGGCTGTTCTCCAGATGCCAGTGGTGGAACTGGCAAATGACACAGTCCGACAATTGAACTGAGTAACAATGTCCTGAAATCCTCGATGAAAAGTGACCTAACTTGTGATTAATTACGTAAGGCTGTTCTTAGCCTCTCCACGGTTTGAGCCTTGTGAGCTTCAAATGAAAACGAAAGTTTCGTATGCTCTACCTCCACACCCCTTCCCCAAACACCTTACTGAACGAAATGAAATGGGTAAAACACTATGGAGTAACTGACATGTGATGAACAATCATTCCAGCCAAGTGTAGCAATATATCAATATCCATGCCAGACGCCAGTTGTTTCAGACACCCTCCTGGCTTGTGAGAGAAACGCATCAATTTTAATAGATATTTACGTCATGTCATTACCTTGCTTCCAATCTTCTTGTTGAGTTTTTCGCAAAGGATGCTCGAGAAAGATGCACTTATCAAAAGAACCAATGAAAAATAGGCAATGGCTTCCTAGACGACAAAGGGCGCAATAAAACAAATCGGTGATGTTCATCAGAATGAAAAAAATATTTCCAGCTTGTTCTTAACGTACGGGAATATAAACGAAGGAGCTATGTTTATTGAATCGGAAACTTAAGGAAAATATTTGTATACTATGTTTAATCGATATCTGCATGTACCAAATTTCAGAAACGTATTGAGTTGGATTGCTCTTCCCTGATTGCTCAGATTTATTTTATTGTTCGAAAAAGACAATATATTTGTATATGGTAAAATGTACTCATTAACTAACTGTGATGTGTATTTCAGTTGTTAACATTGAAAGAGAGAAGAGGAAAAGACGGATTGAAAATTCAAGAAAGCGAAAAAACTTAACGCTGTGATATAAATTGAGAAAAATGTATTCCTAAAAATCATCTAAGAAAATGGATTGTTGTTGCTGGTAACCCCTTCCNCAAAACAAATCAGTGATGTTCATCAGAATTAAAAAAATATTTCCAGCTTGTTCTTAACGTATTTAACAAATAAAGAAGCCTAAGCCGAGTATTACACTGTGATAAAACACGACGAGCATTAGAGAACACGAGGGAAATGTAGAAAACACGAGCCGCAGGCTTCAGTGTTTCGAACGTCCGCATTGTTTTATCACAGTGTAATACATGGCTTAGGCTTCTTCATTTGCTTTATGATATAGAGGTAATGTGGCGAAAAACAATAAAACACGCTTTTTCTATGTTTTATACTCTGATAAAACATGGGTTTTTGACAAATCAGAGCGCGCGCAGGGTCCTATCTATATTATCAAGGAATATAAACGAAGGGGCTGTGTTTATTGAATCGGAAACTTAAGGAAAACATTTTTATGTTATATTTAATCGATATCTGCATGAAAAGCAGAAAAGCATTGAGTTGGATTGCTCTTACCTGATTGCTCAGATTTATTTTATTGTTCGAAAAAGACAACATATTTGTATATGGTAAAATGCACTCATTTACTAACTGTGCTGTGTATTTCAATTGTTAACATTGAAAAAACGAAGAGGAAAAAACGTATTGAAAATACAAGAAAGCGAAAAAACTTAACCCCGTCTAGCATTTTGCTTTAGACGAATTATGTACTTTCCAAACGATACGTAGGAAAATAAACCGATACAATATTTACCTTTGCAAATTGTAATCTTTCTGTAAGAAACAGTGGTAAATATGTGAAAACTGTGTTTCTTACAAGGCCTGCACATGTGAAGATAATCGCTACCTGGAAA